AACTCGTTTTATTATATACCCCAGAATTCTATCTATATAATTCTAACTGTGTTGAATCATGTCTATCAATATATTAAATTACATGCTTACATGTTTATATATAACAAATAGAAAACCTATTTATATTGAAAAATTCATAGAAAACTGAATAGAAGATTTTCAGTGTTTTTTCAAATTGAAAAATACAAAAAAATTTACTCTGGGAAAAGGATGCATCATTAAATTAATTGCTAACCCCAAAAATTATACATACAAATATACATACGTACATGCACAATATTTTATATATTTTGTTCATTGATTATAATTTTATAGGAAATTTCAAAAAGCCTAAATATTTTTTTAGAAACGATAATTATATTGGTAGATATAATATGTCATGTTGTAAAAAGTTAAAATATTGATAGTCAGAGTAAATAATTTATTCTGTTATATAATCAACACTTTCTCAATATTAGGTACATTATTTTTATAGTATATACAATTACATTTAGTTTTGTTGTACGTTTTATTATTATAGGCATTACAATATTATTGTGTACATATTAAATTTTTCCCTGCTAGAATACAACATCTGTAATATTAGTCAGACGCAATGTTCTAAATGAGCTGATGTTTTTCAATCTAGAAAATGTTTGATATTGAATATAGAAAATGGACCTTTTGTATATATGATTTCGGTTGTGATGTGGTATTTTTTTATATCATTTATGTGTAAATGATTGATTTAATAATGGTTGGTTAGAGCGTGATAAAACAAAAATATAAAAATCTTTTCATACTAACATAGATATTTTATTATATAGGGTATAGCATAATGGAGCTCATGTTTTATATTATATTGAAATTTTCACGTACGTATACGTTAAATAACGTTCTATGTTAGCAAAATGCTTACCCATAGAGTATATTTAGCATCAAAAATTTATTTATGTTTAGTTTATTGTTTTTGTTTTAATGAATATAGAACGAATACGATTTTGTAAAATGTTATTTAATATGTTTGATAAAAATGTCAATGGTATTCTAATAGTTTGTTATATCGTAGTTCTATAAGGATCTAATAAAAGTTTCTATTAATGTAATTTTTATAAAAGAATGACTTGATATTTTTCATTCACAGAAATGAGCTTTTTACATATTGTGTACATGGGATGTACATATTTACAAATATTATGTGAGTAATAATGACTTTATTTTGAAATAATTTAGTAATTAATTAATTTTGAAAAGTAATGAACAACACATTCTTAAATTTAATATGAATTTCCTTTAGTATTTTGTACGATTCGTTAAAAATAAATAATAATTGAGAGCAAGGAGCATATTAGATATTGACCTATTGGACGTGTATAGCATTATAAGACTTACTAAATTCAAGACGTTCTTACAATGTTAAAAAAAGACGCGAACAAAATAGTCTTAATACTTACAACAAAACAAATGCATTCTCAATGAATATTCAAATAATTTTTTGAATTTTTAAAATTTGAGAAAATCAAGCTGCAATAATTAAATTTAACATACTTGCTTATCTTATTAACTAGGTCACTGGTTGCGATGCTGTCGAATAGTCAATATTTGGCAAATTCAAAAAATATTTATTATTCAAATCATTACAAAGCTGACACATTCAATGTGGCGCGTTTTATATGGCATATTTTAATTTAACTATAGTCAGAGCTATTTTTTTTTTAAATAAAACTTAAAGATTTTATCCGAAGAGCAAATTCTTGATATTTTTAATTGCTTTAATTAACAACATACTTAAAATATTGCTATAAATTTAAAAGTTTTACGTACACGTTTAAAAATTAAGCGGATAAAGAAAGAGGAAAAATAAAAAAAAAAGTTAATTATATTTTACGAAAAATATCCTTTCAATCGGATTTTTATTGACATATAAAAAAAATGCTGCACGATACATAAAAATTTTCATGTATTTGATATGTAATGAACATTTACTTTGGGAACCGTTTCCTATCAAAATTATAGGCTACACAAAAAAATATTTTCTGAAATACAAGTTGATTTTTAAATAAAACTTACAAGTCGGAAAGAAGCTGGTTTGAGCCTAAACTACAGTGACCAGAGGACTTTTTCTTGGCATCGTATTCCCTATGAAACCAATATATTGGTCTCATATTTTTGCTGACGAAATTATGGATTTGCTTAAACGCCATTGTCCGTAAATTCAAATGTCTTATAGAGTGGAGTAACACATACTTATACTCAATAATTATAACAGCGTCATCTACCTTTATGAGCACCATCTATTCTATTTGTATTTGTTCATACACATACGAGTAGTAAAGAAAAATTGTGTTGAATAAAAATACGACAATTTTTTGTTTAGCAATATTACTGTAACAATGTTAACGGAAAAAGAAACTCATAATGTTTTTATAAATTAAGTAAGATTTCATTGGTTGCGTAAAAATTTACAAGGCTTCATACTGTTCTTTACAATTATTATTATTTACGTAATTATTAATACAAAAATAAAATTTTTTCTACGTACATTTGGAAATTTTATTGATCATGCAATAATTTTTCAACATTTTAAATTTAATGTAAAATCTTATTATGGTTTAAAAAAAATTTTTTTTTTTAAATAAATTAAATTAATCATGGAATTTTTTATTATTAAATATGACATACGGCATTGTATTGAACAAACCAAATAAATAGAACAAAGGGAATAAAAGATGAATTGGGATTTTAACAATATTAATATTTTTTTACGTATTGTTTCAAAATTATTGCATAATTTTATTAAATTATTATTAAAAAGTTTTTAAGAGAATAAAAAAAAATTACTCTGTTAATTTTTCACTTTCGTATATGCTCTTCATTGGGATTATTTTTATACTTAAAATTAATGCTCTCTTAACACAATCGCATCTTTAATGCTCTTTTATTTTTTATTTATATTTAAGTTTTATATATAGCTTCACAAACATTAATAACACATGCACATTATTTAAATATATCGGACTTAATAATTTTGTGGGGTTTTGTAGCTCCTAAAAGACAACCAAAAGCAGCATTTTGACAAGTGCGAATTTCATATTTTTTTATAGAGAATAGAATGGAACATTATGTTTCAGTCTAATTATAACAGCGCCATCTATCTTTATGAGCGCCATTTATCTATTCGCAAGAGCTCTTTCATACATATAATATAGAAAAACTGTGTTGAATTAATCTTAAACATTTACTTAATATTAGTAGTCGTGAAAAGCTTTTCACAAGTCACCTAGGCTAAAAACGAGGTTCAACAAGATCAAAAAGGTGGTTCAAAAAGGCGAGAAAGGAGGTGATCCACAAAGAAATTTGGCCACACAAGCTCGCTCTCTCAAAGCGCTTACCTAAACTTCCTCGCAATCTAGAACCCACCTGTATTAGATTCGACAGCCCTGTTACCCGCCAAAATAGACTACTACACAATGAAGCCGTAGCCAGTTCCGCTATCCTACTAGTGCTACTAATTGCAATTTGCAAGAATCACTGCCCGAAAAATTCTGTGGCCATTCAGTCACCTGAATTGCGTCGGGTGAGTAAATTTAACACTAAAACTAAAAACTGAATCGATCTCAGGTATAATTCTAATGACCTAAACGTTCCAGGCTGTTGTTATAAAAAATTAGATGAAATTGATTTGTACCAGTAAAGCCTTAAATTTTTTAAATTTGGAATATTTTTTAATATTAATTTTCTTAAGTTTTAAAGAATTTGATCAAATGAAGGAAAATCAGGTGTTATAGTGACTTTTCTTTGAAATTCTTCAATTAAAGTAATGAAAGAAAAAGAGTATCTTTTTAAATGTAAATAAATTTGTTATGTCGTAAGTGAAGAATCAATCGTATTGATTATTCTTGTATTTTGAATCTGTTTTTTTTTTGGAATAAGTATAATCATTTTATTAAAGTTATCCTGTGAAAATTAACATTCTAATGAGAACATTTCATCAAACTGAATTTGTTTTGTATTTTTTAATGAAATTACTTACACGTGTACCACTTACAAACAATGAAAAAGTTAAGTAAACAAAATTGACTTCCCCATTGCTATTCCAATATAAAAATTTGAATTTAAAATTATTTGGTTCTCGAACGTTTTCATATTATTATTTTGCTTGTTTTGGTACTATGCATAAAAAATTAATTTCTTGATTATTGTGGGTGGCTTTACAAGTTATAGCCGTTTTAGAAATAAATATAAGGATTCAAATAAATCGAAAATTATTGAAGGAGTATCGATTAATTGAATAATTATTATTGAATAAATTATGAATACATGCGTAAGCTTATAAAAAAAAAAACATCAAATCATTTGTTCCTGACAAGAATCATCTATGGAGCATCCAGGTGAATTTCTATAAATAGATGACCTAGAGTAAACTTAATTCATATTCTGGCTATTAATATTTCTGAAATAAATTTTTAATATGCTCTACTAATACACATCGCATTCATATACATGTACGTACACACGCTATATATTTTGGGAAGACAAAAAACATTCAAAGTTATATGCTAACAATCTGATATTTAAGGAGTCATAAATTTTCTATATACCAAATAGGTATTATCCTCATTATGAAGAGAAATTTAACATTCAAAATTCAAAATTATTAAACCAGTCGTTCACATTTTTAACAATAAACAAAAAAAATTTATTCACTTCTCGCCTGAAATGATGCTATATTATCATAACCTTTATAACTTAACTTAACTTCCGCCATCACATAAATCCTTGAAAAAGAAAAATTTTTTTTTTCAACCGAAAAAATATTTAACAGAATTTTTTTTTTTTTTTAAATGGTTAAGTAATTTTTTGTTATTCCTCATTTTTTACTGTTCTATGTTTGCATTTTAATACCCCTGTATATTGTATGTATATACTGGTATAACTGTATGTGCATATTTTGTATAACAATTATATAGGTATACATTTTATTTTGTTCACAACTAAAATATTATTAAAATATAACTTACCTCCAATACTAGCATTATAAGCAACTCCCACACCACAATAATTATTAAAAGCAACGGCGGCTACTTCACCGGCACATCTGGTTCCATGTTTATTGTCACCATTATCCTGTGGCATTGGATCTGAATCATTTCCATTAATATCATAGGAAGCTTCAGAGTCCTGAAAATAAAAAAAAAATATTTATAAAATAAAAGAGGAAATGGTGTATAGGTAAATTTTTTTTTTTAGACAAAAATATAAAATAATTGGTACAATATGAAAATAAAGGAAAAAAAAACACTTTCGGAAATATTTTAGCACATTACCATATTTGAATGCGATTCTCGATATTCTCTGGACGTTAATAATAGTAGAATAAGATACGTTACATAAAGTGAAAGTCAACTTTTCAGAAATGTGAGACAGGGTCAAAAAATAATATTTTTTGAATTTTATACGTTATATTAGCTCTGTTCGTAATAGGGGAACTATAACAGTAACAGACCAAGAGTGTAACAATTTAATTGTGTTATATTGCCGAATGCCCTTAATTACTCCTATTAAAGGATAATTGAGAGAAATGGTTTTGCGTGTTATTTATGTATTATGTAAAAATTCTTTTATCTGTATTAGTAGAAAATAAATTTCAAATTCTCAATATTTAAATTTGTGCATAAGTTTTTACTGTTTTACTACAGAATTTCTATTTCAAGGCCAAGCCATTTTTAAGAGCTCTTGGAGCAATTTGAAATATTATTAAAATATAAATTCTATTTCAGGTTGTACAACGTTAACTGTTTTTGCCAGATAATATTTCGTTTCTGCATGTTATTTGACTATTCAAATATGCTTCACATTCAAATATGAAGCTATTATTGTATTACTAGTGCCTACATGTAATAAATTTTGTGAATTTTAATAAACTTCAGGCTGGACGAATTTTACTTCCCGAAAAGTTAGATTTTTTTTAAGATCAATTCCGCCAACTATTTATAATACATAAATCTCGCTCTTTCGATACCAAGTCTCCCAATAAATCCAAATATCTTGCAAGGTTTCATTTTCCAGAATTCCTTTGCTGAAGAATACGTTCCCCTGTGGATCAAGAATTCTGAAACGGTGCTCTGAAATTGCTTCCGCATTCCTACATGTGTTGTTTATTTTATATATGTGTAATTATTTTATTGTTGGTCATTCCAAATTCGAGTTTTGGATACTGGAGGTTTAGAGTTGTTGTAATAAAAAAATTACAATTATTTATTTAATATTTCACTTTCAAAACTTAGCAAGCAGCTATAACTTATTTCTCATTTATTTTTTGTTTTTTGTAATGTTAAGGTTATAGACAAAAAAAACAACGACAATTTTTTTTCTTCCTCTGTTAAATGTAAATGGAAAACTTTTTTTTTTTTCGCCACCATTGTTAAAAACAAATTGATGATGACGATGATGGTAAAAAAAAAAAAAATTAGGAGTATAAAATTTTGTTTCGACCGTAAAGTTTTCTTTGTTTTTTTTTCGGATTTAAGAAATTTTCTTAACAGAACAAAAGAAAAATACCAGAAAAAAAAATCAGAATAAAAACCAATGAAAAATTATTCAAAGTTTTCTAGAACTTTTTCGTTTCTTAAATCAATACGCGAATTGCTGATACAGAAAAAAAAACTCAAAAAAAAAAAAAGAAAAAACAATACCACCAGCCATAAATGTGATAAAACGCGTAAAAACATATGTTTAGGGCAGAACAGAAAAAGTGGGACAAAATAAAATGTTATCGGAACCATGAAGGTGGCATAAAACATAAACATCTATACAAATGGAAAAAAAAAATTTTTGTTCAATAGTGTTAAATTATTTATTAGAATTGTTAAGGCGAAAACTTTTACTGTAAAAAGAAGAAAAAGTTATGAAACCAGGTGAGACTATGAACTGTTTTTCTTCTGTTTATTTTTTTTTTTATTAATTTTTGAGTTTAAGTATAATTCCAATATTTACAAAAAAAATTATTATAATACCCAAGTAAAATAGAACAATAGAGAAAAAATAGGTAAAAGAAAATGAACAAATGAAAAATTACTGCTGGATAATGGGGCTGAAATTGTTAAGGAAATTTTAAAATTGAAATTACAGATGAACCTTTTTGCTCGGCATGAAATTGTATGGGAGATTTTTTTTTCTTAAATTCAACAATATTTTCACTTTTATTAGAATCAATTAAGTATTTGCTTTTTTTTACAATTTAATTGCAGTTTTTATAATGCCTTGTTGTGAAGCAGGAGAAATAATTACAAAAAAAAAATGTCGTATAATTACTAAAGTATTACTTTGATAATCCAGTTGGATAGTTTATGCAACGCAGTATAGTTGGCAGAAAATGGTTCTTAGGTAATCGGTGTTACTTTCGATTATCGTTGTAATGGCATTATAATATATTGAGATGGAAGTAATGTAATTTTCAATTTAAGCAAAGGTTTGATTAAGGAGTGCAGAAAACCATCACATTACAAGCGTTAGAAATTTATTTCTTTTCAATTACAGCTACGTTTTGAAATTTTAGCGAAAAAAAGTAGCGAAATATTTGTGATATGACACACTTTTCCTTATTTTATTTTAGTTTAAACCAGTTTTAAACTAAATTAAAGATAAGCCTCTAAAGTAAAGATAAGCCTCTTTTCAATTTTGTATAGGTTCAATAATTTGGAGATGCTCAAATATTCAATTATCCAGAATTTAAATTATCAGGACAATACTGATACTGTGTCATGTTTGATTCTCCGAAGCAATGCAATGTAAGGAGGACAAGCAAAAAGTTATAAATTTCGTTCATCTTCTAATCTTCTTCCAATAAATTCCTTCTTCATTTACCTTGGATAACAGAATATTTTAAAAAATCAGGGTTTGTTCAATCTTGTCCAATATTTTCAATACAGATTATTTGTATATGTCTAGAGAGGCACCCAAAATTAAAGTTTAAAATAAAATGTAAAAAATTAAGCCACTAAGTGTAAATTATTTTCTTAGGGTTCTTAAGTTTTTCCTTTTGTCAAACTGCTTTAAACAAAATCTTACTAAATTTCTATTTCAAAATTTTCTTTCAGAACTGTTTTCAGTCTGATCACTCCGAAATCATTAGACCTTTATATAAATTTCATTAACAGTAAATTAATTAATAATAAATTATTTTTCGTATAACTTCATTAAAATTAATTTCAATGTGCAAAGTCTATTAAAACATAAAAATAATTAAGACTTTTTAACAGTAAAAATAAATTTTCTCCAGACAAAACAGAAAATTTCCTGCACCGTATATTCTTGCATGTATTTGCAAAATTTTCCATTTGGTAAAACAATTTTTCTTCCTTTTTTCTTTCTGTATGAGTTTCTTACAAGTAACTGTGTGTAATAATAATATTATTTTTTTTTTCAATTTTATGCTGCATAATATGTTTAAAAACCTTCTCCCCCCAGACTTTTCCGTTCATTATAAATAATAATCGTAGCCTATATATTCGGTTACCTGGTATAATAAAATGTCTACATTCATTTGATATATGGAAAAACTTAAGAATGTGACTTTGTAATTTTTATGACCAAGGTTCTTCCTGTTGGAACTTTATTTTTTTTCTTTTACTTTTAAAAATGAATTCCTTTCGGGCGCAATTATGTATTCCTTATCTTTGTCTAATTTTTCCGTTTAACTATTTTCCGCTTCAAACTTCATCTTTGCAATAAACTCAATTTTTTTTGTTCTTTATCTTTATCTTTTTCATTTTTTTTTTTAAAGTTATTTCCGCTTTTTTTTCTCTTTCATTTTTGTCAGGATTAAAATATCTTTGTATTTTGCCAGGTAAAAATAAAGTAAATGATGAAGGGTTTTTTGTGTCTTTTTCTTTACATTTTACATAATATTTGCCTCTGAACTGTTATGATCATACCACATTTCCGTACTATAACTTCACTCTGTATACTAACAAGAAAATACAAAAAACAAACTTAAAAAAAATAAAGAGAAACGATGCAAGGAACAAGAAAAAAAAATAATAAAGGATTCATTCATTTTTACTACATTGAGGATAACAAGAAAACTATAAAACTTGAAGACATGTATCCTGTTTTTTTTTTTTGTTAGGTTCTTGACTAACGATAAAAAATTGAATTTACGTGAAACCATCATGTAACAAAAGTTTTTGTTTGCACTTTAAGGTAAAGCTAAGAGAAAATAATAGTTTATCATCTTTATATTTGAGGTCTACATTTCATTGTGTATAGCCAGAAAACTTTTGTGAATATTTTAAAATTTGTCATTTTGTCCGTCTTAAGAATTGTTTCTTTTTTACTTCTGATTTTATTGTCGGTTAAAATAGTCAAAGTAAAATAAAATTTTTGTGAGAATAAGTAACAGCAACATATACAGAGCATTGTGAGCAACATATCCAAAGAATTTGGTCATGCGGCAAACATATCTCATTTTTTGTCTTAATTGCAGTCATTTCTTTATCAACGAATTTGGAACTTGGTAATCAGAATATAATTTCGTAGAGTTTGTGCCATTAAGGTGCAAATTAAAATACATTTTAAAATTTATTTTCGCTTTTAATAATATATTAAGGCAATTCATTAAAAAATTTCAACCCAATATTTATAACAATATATTTTGGGCCCTAGAATTATTGAAAAAATTTATTCTAAAACCTTGGTTCTTACACAACAAATAATTATGAATATTCCCAGAATAAACAAATCGTTTAGTCAGATAAGACGGCATCACTCCATGCTCTATCTTAAAAATCATTATAAACAAAGAGAGTAACTCTCTCGCAAACAAGAGAGTTAAGAAGTTAAGGTATTTCATACCTATGTTCATTAATTTCTAAAGTTTGTTCAACATTTCAGTATTGGTCATAAAAAGAATTAATGAACAGAATTGATTGAATTATACAAAAAAAAAATAAGAGTTTCCGCTTCCTTACATTTAGAAGTTCAATTTTACTTTCAACTGATAATTACTTTGGTCTTGAATAAGCAGAGCTCTCCTTTTTTATAAGTGTGATGCCGGCATTTTACGAGTATTTCTGTGATAGTGTTTTCGGGATAACTCATTAAACATAACTATATTTTTCATCTGTAAGGACCATCGAAACTCTTTGAAAAAAAATGAGAACTCTCAATTTTTATACGTT